GTGGGTGCCCTGGGTGTGGGATGGGTGCTGGAGTGTGGGGTGGGTGCTGTGAGCCTGGAGTGGGTGCTGTGAGCCTGCTGAGGGTGCTACCAGGCTGGCAAAGGCGCTGTGAGCATGGCACGGGTAGTCCTCACCCGGAGAGGGTGGTGTGAGCCTGGAGTGGGTGCTGCCAGCCTGACACAGGTGTTGTGGGCACGCTCTGGGTGCTCTGGGTGTTCCATGGGTGCTGTGGGTGTTCCGTGGGTGCTGTGCCCACGCTGTGGGTGCCGCGAGCCCAGCACCAGCGCTGTGGCTGGACACGGGGCGCTGCGAGCCTGGCACGGGTGTTCTGAGCCTGGCACCGGAGCTGCAGGGCTGGCACCAGCGCTGCGAGCCTGGCGTGGGCACCGGCAGGCTGGCAGGGGCGCTGCGAGGCTGGCAGGAGCGCTGGGAAGCTTGGCAGGGGCGCCGGAGCCTGGCGTGGCCCCTCGGCCCCCCGGGGCAGCTCCTCCCTCGCCGGTGGTGCCAGTCGGCTGCGAACCCCCCGTGGCCGTGGCCGTGGCCTCTGGCCGGACCCACCCCCGCCGGGTGACTCAGCCCGGGAGGCTTTTCCTTATATAACGCGGCGGCTCCCGCGGCTCCCACGGGAGCAGCCCCTGCCCAGGGAGCAGCCCCTGCCTCAGTTTCCCCGCCCGGGGTGTCACTGTCACCGCTGCCACCGCCGCTGCCACCGCTGCCATGTGGATGGTGTCCCCGCCGGTCGGTAAGTGCCACCCTCGCCCCGCTCGGCCCCTCGGCAAGGCGCCCCCTCCCCACCCCAAAAATCAGCTTTTTTTGGAGGGGTTAGTAGTAAAATTAGGGTAAAAACGGGAACCAGCGCCAAAAAATAGGTGGGTTTTGCGCTTCCCCCTTTTCCCCGTGCCCGGAGGGGCGAGACGCCCGCGGGGGCACAACATCCCCCGGAACACATATGGGATCACCTGGGGAGAACCAAAATCCCCTGGTTTTCCCCCAAAAGGGGGAATAAAAGCAGCGGGAGCAGCGCCGGAGCTCAGGGATTCCCTCCCTCCCTCCCCAGCACTTTGATTTTGGGGTGAGAAACGCCAGGAACGGGCAAGTTCAGGTGGCACAGCAGTGCCCGGGGGCTTGCGCCACTCACGGGAACATTCCCGAGGCTGGGAAAGGCAGGGATGGGGCACAGCAAACCCCGAACTCGCCGGGTTTTTCCCCGTTTTGAAGACCACGAAGCACCGAATTCGGGGATAAAAGCGGGGCGGCAGCGCCCAGTCAGACCTCCCGCCCCCCCCAAAAAAATTCCCTGGCTCCGGGAAAGCCGTGGATCGGGAGGGATTTTCCCGGCTCAGCTCTGCCGGCGGCTCCGGGCGCGGTGTCCAAAGGTCGCTCGTGTTCCGCGGCGGCTCCGGAGCCAGCGACCCCTGACTCCAGAGACATCCCCCCGGCCTTTCTGCTTCCCACACCTCCCGAACATCCCCCAGAGCCTTCCTGCTTTCCACACCTGGGGAGCTGTTAGGGGAGCATTCCCGTGATGAGCCCGGGTGGGCTCTGAGGGGCTCTGAGAGGCTCTAAAGGGGCTCTGAGGGGCTCTGAGAGGCTCTAAAGGGGCTCTGAGGAGCTCTAAAGGGGCTCTGAGGGGCTCTGAGGGGGCTCAGAGGGGCTCTGAGCGTCTCTAAAGGTCTTTGAGTGGTCTCTGAGTGGTCTCTGAGTGGTCTCTGAGGGGCTCTAAGGGGGTTCAGAGGGGCTCTGAGGGGTCTTTGAGGAGCTCTGAGGAGGTTTTGAGAGGTTTTAAGGGGCTCTGAGGGGTCTCTGAGGGACTCTAAGAGGCTCTGAGGGATCTCTGAAGGACTCTGAGGGGTCTCTGAGGGGATTCTAAGGGTCTCTGAGGAGCTCTGAGGGGCTCTGAGGGGCCTCTAAAGGTCTCTGAGGGGCTGGGGGGGGGGTTGTTTTGCTCTGACGTGCTGTTTTCTTTCAGATGAAGGATCTTCCTGGCTTTGGGACACGGCAAAGGCGGGGGGCACAGCACAGGACCCTTAAATTCTTTCCCTAAAGCTTAGCCCGATAGGTATTTAAGATCCATACAGAGCTTAAAACCGGGGTTGGCTTTTTAGTCTAAGCTTGGGTTTGGCTTAATTTCCTTCGTTTCATTCATTTTTTTCGCCGTTCTTTGCTCGGTTTCTTCGCCTTCTTTTTTTTTTTTTTTTTTTTTTTGGCCTCTTTTCTCCCATTTTTTTGGGGGAGGGCAGCACCAAATAAATCCTCCCC